AGACTACTACAAAATATAGAAGACTACGGTCTATCTTTAACGTTGCTATAAAAGAATAGAGAGATTTAGGTTGGGAAGAAAGTAAAAGTAGAGAAAGTCGTATTTAGGTGATAATCCATTGAAGGTCCTTGCAAATTACGACACTTCATGCCCCTTTAACAAGCACACAATAATCAAGATTAAAAAAAAGAAAGTAAGTTACCTAAACGACTCTATTGCTTTGAGCACTGGAGGCTCACACGCTAGCTTGAATAAACATCTATCTTTGACTGCTGTTCTGTCCTGAAACAAGATTTTTTTCCTAAGAACAGTTTTAGTAAGAGTGCTACCACAAATGCTACTAACCGTGATATTCAACTCGTTTAACGTCTTCTTGTTCAAAAGTGCAAATTTGGACACTTCATCCTTTTTGATGCTCTGAACTTGTTTATATTATATAAATACTGTTCTCATATAAAACACTTAGCATTTTAAATGTACATTCAAATAAAAAAGACGTGACTTGAACGGGAAAGGAGAGAAAGGATACTAATGTTTCTGTACGTTAATGTCTGACGACCTCCTTAAGCTTAGAATATTCTCAAACGTACTTTGAGAAAGTGTATTTCCTCTTCGTATCTTGCAATTTTTCGCTTCAAAGCATTGTTTGCTTTTTTGGCCAAGATAGCTTCCATTCGTTTCATCTTCCTCACCAGCCGCTGGATTAGAAATTTCTGTGCTTTTTGCACAACAGACCGCAAATGAACAATCTACAAGAAACAGTGCACAAAATTTCTCTTTATATAGAAATAGAATTGTAGTGAGAAGCCTACTTCTGTATTGAGCAGCTCAGAATTCAAAGTTTCTCCAGTTGATGAGGATGGTTTTGCTTTCTTCGACTTCTTTACCTACATAATAGAAGGTAGAATAGAATGTGACAACAAGGGCTGTAGAGGTTACCTCTTTGCTGAGTAGCTCCTTTTTGCCACTCTCTAGCGGAGTGAGGTTTGGCATGACAAACTCTATTTTTGGTGTAGGAATAGCAGAAAGGTCAGCAACTTCATATTCCTATAAGTGTAAATTTCCTAGAAAAAACTAAATTGTATGTTAAATAAAAAAAAACCGAAACAAGACTTTAACTCTAATAAGAATAAACTATTTGATCGCAAAGGGCTGCATAATATTAGATGCAGTTTGAAACGCTGATTCCACCTCTC